TCCCTTAAAAGCCAACCCTCAAAAGAGCCGAGACAGTGCTAGAGGCTGAAGAAGGGGTCGCCTGAATGAGGACTTACGTGGACGAAGTTTGTCAGAGGACATGTTGAGTTCTAGGATCCTTAAGGGAGGATGGTTCAAGGGGGGAGGGTATAAGGAATCCTTAGGGGACTGTAAGGGAACCTTAGGGACCCCCCTCCCTTAAGGATACTACAATGTTGGATTTTGTGCGTTTCACAGTGTAGGTCCCCAAACCTTTAGGCCCGGGCTTTACGCCCCCACCGCGTGCTGGAAAGGCTAACTAAATATTATGTAAACAACCTATACGATGTAGGCTTCTATTACAAGTACCGAAGTACCTAATAGAAGCCCATGAAGATCCAACAAAATGGCCTCCGCCAAGTGAGCAAACTGGCTAAAGTTCACGAAGCCGGTGTGGTGCCCACCAGCCTGTGACCAAGCCTCCTGTTTGTCAAGCAGCTTTCTCTGCGTGGAGGCGAGGGGGGGAGGCTTGATAGGGTTCTGACACTGCCTCAGTCTTGCAATTTGGGAGTTTCCCAAAATAGGGGACCCTGATTTAGTACCCTAAATAGTAGGATCCTTATGATAAGGACCCCCAAAACAAGGTGCCCCTAATTTTCGGAAACTGCCATTTGAGGGGGGGGTTAGGCGGTTTATCTTGTTCGGCATCAGACTCTGACCGCTCATACAGGACTATGTCGGCTTTCAAAGTGCAGAGGGAGTGAGCGTACGATCTCACTTAAAGGATCATGGGACTTAGTAACTAGGGTTATATTTAGGGTAACTATACTTATAACTAACCCCAATTAAGTTACTTATAACCTTACCTACTAAGTCCCGTGATCCTCCAAGTAGGGTGCATTGGTTTCGGTCTCAGGGTGGTTTCGGGATTTATTGATGTTGATATTTTGGAAGCTGCCCCCACCCTGTAATAGTGACTATAAGGATTATATAGAATTATATTAGGGCCCTATTATATTCCTATTATACCACTATTACAGGGTGAGGGCAGCTCCTAATTGATATTGGTTGGCTCCGAGTCGAGAGTTTCCAGCTTCAGAAAGTGCTCCTGAGTGATGCGCCGCGAAAGCTGCAGAAGCTCAGAAGAGACAGCTAGGCCTTCACCTTCAATCTCAACCAACACCCCAAATCATAAATCCTAAACCCGAAAATCGAGCAAAACTGAACAAAAAAACATCATCCAAACCCGACACAAAGCGTATAAGCCTTAAAATAGAACCTTGGAAAACTCAGTGTGACCGGCTTGAACGGCGTCTAAACAACCCCCCACCTCAAACGTCCCCCCCCCCCCCCCCGGCGTGTCTCCTCCGACTCCATGGGTAGCTCGGCCTTGAGAAGCCGATGACAGCTTTGCAGCGCCTGGAGGAACTCCTGGAAGCAACGCGGCCCTCGTGGGCAAAAAGGAGATTAGGCCTTTAGGGTTCCGTGAAAGGGTTCCTTTAAGGGATCTACAAGGTCCCCCCTTTAAGGGATCTACAAAAGGTTTAGGGTTTAGGGTTCCTTTAAAGGGATCTATAAGGATTACTATGTGGGCAAAAGGGAGATTAAGGCTTTAGGGTTCCGTTAAAGGGTTACTTTAAGGGATCTATAAGGTTTAGGGTTTAGGGTTCCTTTAAAGGGATCTATAAGGATTACTATACCATGAGGGTTCAGGGTCTGCAGGCGGTTTAGGGGGTGTGCAAAAACTATAAGGTTCCTTTGAAGGATTATAAGGTTCCTTTAAAGGCGGATTATAAGGTTCCCTTAAGGGATCTATAGAATCTAGGGCTTTTGTAGGGTTTCTAAAGAGGAGGTTGGGGCTTCTTAGGGTTTCGAAAAAAAGGGTTCTAGAGAGGTTTTGGGTGGAGGCCTCGCTGTTGAAAAAAGCGTTAGATGGTGGGGTTTTGTAGGGTCTAAGGTTTAGGGCTTTAGTGGAGTCTTATAGCGTTTTGGATGTGCACCGGGGAGATCCTTGCCATCGTCACCGTCATCATAAGACAACCATCTGCATCGCCCTGCACCCTGGCGCCCTAACTGCCTCACTTCATAGTTCAGGAGGTTTTTGGTCAGGGGATTCAGTAAGTAGGACTATGAGCGACATAGTGGACAGTAAAGGGAACCTTAGTGGAGCCATCATTGAAAGGGAACCTTACAGGAGCCATGATTAAAAGGAACCCTTGTAGGAGCCATTATTGAAAGGAACCCTCATATGAAAGCTTGTCGGAACCGTCAAAAGGACCGCTTGCAGATCTGACGGCTCCTCCTTGTCTAAGTGGCCCGACTCCTCGCGGTCGTGGTATTGAAAAAGCCTGGCAAAGCGAATTCTAAGCGAACTTCGAAAACGACAGAGGGAACCCCCGAAAGAAAAGCAGCAGCCAGAGGGTTTAGGGTTTAGGCTGAAGGAGGAGGAGTAGCAGTGTTTAAAAGACACTCAGCATAGCGAAACGGATGACCACAACAGCGATGATCGTGACTGCAACAACACCAAACATTGCTGCTGACGGTGAAGAGGCAGATGATGACGACGATGACAGGGGAACTGACGATGCTGCTGTGATTCATGGTGACGGTGGCCACACATCTTGCTGACGAGGCACTGCCACAGGTTCTGAAACTCTGGATATTGGCCATTGCCTGGAGTTACGCCGGAAGAGCATGAGGACCAGCTTGGAGGATCATGGGACTTAGTAAATAAGGTTATAAGTACCCTAATATGGGTTATAAGTATAGTTTCCCTAATTATAACCCTAGTTACTAAGTCCTATGATCCTTTAAGAGAAGTGACGCATGCTGGAAACTCTGTTGAACCACAAGCCTCAAGCCCTAGCGGCAAAGCCTCAACACTGGGTCGACTTGGAGGATCATGGGACTTAGTAAGTAAGGTTATAAGTACCTAAATTGGTATTATAAGTACAGTTACCTTAATTTTTTAAACCCTAGCTACTAAGTCCCATGATCCTTTAAGTGGGTCTAGGTCTCCATGCCCCAAGAACTGTCACAGCACAGCTGCACAGCTACTGCTGCACAGCTCAGTCTGAGTGGTGTTGACTTGAATCTGCTGCAATCTCTGCACTTCTTCGCATGGGTGGTTGTCAAAATTAGGGTCGCTTCCTGGGTACCATATAATAGGTGCCGTATTATAATAGGGACCCAAAAAGGGACCATAATTTTGACAACCGCCCGCATGAAATCTTGCTCCGTCACGACTGAGATTTCAGGGCTTGGGGTTGGGGCACCATGGAGTCGCCATCGAAACCGTGAACCATGCAAACTCTACTGTAAACCCTTTCATCCCCACCTAAGGGAGTTCCGGAAACTCCCCATTTGGAAGTTTCCGAAAATAGGGGAACCAATATAGTACCCTAAATAGTAGGATCCTTATTATAGGGGCCCCAAAATAAGGTGCCCCTAATTCTCGGAAAGCCCCCCATCTCTCCAAGCTGCTGAATGACACTTGCCCGATGCGGTAGTGCCGATCCTTGGGAAGGCGCCGCAACCGGGGAGGGCTGCAGGTTTGGGGGGCTGGGGCGATGGGTAATTTAGGGGCCTTGATAGTTAGAATGGGACGCCTTTATTTAAAGGGATCTATCATGGCTACTATGAGGGCTACTGTAAGGGTTTAGTATAGGGGTCTTAATAATTACAACGGGGTTTGGGGGTACATTACACTTTAATTAGAGAAAGGAACCCCCCAAACCCTATCCTAGTTACTAAGGCCCCTATATCAAGCGATGAGCGAGCATCCGACCACTGACTAGGTGTTCGTTTCTTGAAGCCTTTTCCATCGTTTGGAGCTGGCAAGCTGGTTTGGATTTCGAAGTCAGACTTTGGGTCGACTCAGAAGTTGAAAGAGAGCTGATCAGCAGGAAGCTCGATCTCTTGGCCAAGCTCGCAGATTACTATACCAGTAATAATTGTAACAATAGTAATAATAGTAATAATAGTAATAATAGTAATCATAGTAATCATAGTAATCATTTTTTGCTAGGGAGGGCGCAAAGTCAGAACGACGTGCCCATCGCATTGAATTCGACGGTGAAACAGTTTCGGGAACCAACATCCGCAGGGGCCTGGGCAAAAGACATCAGCCAGGCTGAGAGAGGCTCAAGCTGACTAACAGCGAGCGGGATCCTAAATAAAACCGGAACTCCCTCCTGTGCGGTGCGGACGAGGCATTGTGCAGTCATCAGGAATCGAAGAGTCCAAGCATTTTGTAGGCGAAGGCGGCGCAGCGACTGTGAGCCGGGCCGAAAGTAGCAGGCGTCAGACTGCACAGGAGACGGCATCTGCACACACAGACCACGGCAAACACAAGCAGAAGCAGGCAAGTCCGATAAATCCACTTGTCGGAGGCAGGCGTCGCCAAACTCCCAAGCCGAGACCCAAGAATCCACAAGCTCCCCACACCACAAGACTGGGAGAGCAGAGCGGCAACTCGTCCGGACGAAAATGGGAGCGCTCAAAAGGGGGAGGAATCCAAGAGTCGGACCATGATGCACAAGCTTGCCACCGACCTTCGAACAAAGATGCTCTGGCCAAAAGACAAGCAACACGTCCGCCAGGGACTCCGCCAAAGGCCCATCCGGCAGCTCAGCCTGCCACTTCTCAAGGGTGCGACGCAGCACAGGCCAAGGAGCAACGAAGGCCGTCACCAAATCAAGGATCTCCTGATCCTCAGCCACACTCAGAGCACGCAGCGCCGCAAGCAACTCAGGACAGATATCCAGAAGGGGAACCTCGGGCACCCGAGATCCGCGCTTTACGGGTGGTGCCTGAGAATGCCCGTCCTTGCCGCCAACACCGGGCAAATGAGCATCCCCATGTTCAAGCAGATACTGGCAACATCGAGGGGAAGAAACAAAGTGAACACGGAGCTTAGCGTTGGAAGCATAAAGAGAGCCGCAAGCGGCACATAGCGGCACAGTAGCGCCCATGCGCCAAGCGGGTAGCCACATTACGATATCCATGCACGCGCTGAGCATGGGTACCCCACTGCCGGAACGTAGGGAAAGCCACCCCGCACACTAAACAGCCATGCACCAACCCTTCGAGAGGAGAGGAGGCTTCGCCGCGGCACGACGGCCACATGGCACGCACGGAAGAATCGAAGAAAGCGCCAACATGACTGCATTCTACATCGAAGGCCTCAGCTCTCTTCAAGATTCCACGCCAACGACCAGGTTGGGTCTTCATCAGCTTCGACCAGCTATCCCAATCCAAGTCGATGGGGCCCAAACCACAGGTCGCGGAAACACGTGAGCAAAACCACTGGCCGGCTTCACGTAGCGCCGCCTGAAAAGGCCGATTCCAGGACAAGAGCGCCCAGACAGGATCCGGGGCATTGCGCACCAGCTGCCCCAACAGCCGCAACCTCTCAGTATGCAAGAGTGCCAAAGGGGAGGGTAGCCCCACGCGCGAAAGGATTTGGTGCTCCGTAACATGTCACCTGTAGCGCGAAGTCCAAGCATCTGCCGATAGAGCCCCAACACACCGCCGGAAAAGGCCCGCCAATCCTGTTGAAGCAGCAGCGGCCAGCTGCCCGCACCAACAAGCAGCACTGACAGTACATGACTACGCAGCAATGAAGCGCGCCGCTCCATCGGCACCTGCCGACAAGCGAACAATTTCCGGCGATCCTCACGGAAGGCAGCATTGGCGAGCGCCAAGCGCTGACGGACCTCTGGACCCATGCGACCATCGTAAGACACCAGGGAACCCAAATGTTTATACCGCGGCACAAGGTCCAACCAAAGCAAGCCTTTGTTCTGAGGCCACAGGGGTACACGACCCTTGAGCTGTACGAAAAGCTCCTGCCGCACCGCACGAGAACCCTCACCTATAGGCGCCATAACCGGCGCGGTCTTAGTGGGGCCCAAGTTCGGTCTCAGTGCGTGAGGAGCCAGAACATCCATAGTTTCCGCTGCCGTCGCAGACACAACACCCCGTAGCTGAGCCGCTTTCTTGCACAAAACGGGTGTGCAAAGGTCATCAGCGTATACTATGTCAGCTACGCGGACGCCAGCCGCCTGTTCCTGCCCACTCTTGGCAAAAGGAGTGCGAGCCCCATGCCAGGGAACAAGCGGCACATGCCCTGCAGTGGGGCCCGATTCACGCCTAGAGAGGACTTTGGCGAAAAGCATGTTGAAAAGCACATCGGCGAGTGTTCCACCCGGTCGCGCCCCACGACCAGTCTCGACAATCTGTCGATCCTCCGCCATCACGAACCAAGTTTGTCGATGAAGCTCCCGTGCGAGGGAGATCAGAAGCGGAGAAGCATTCTGACTTTGCAGCACCGGCTCCTCAGAGACATAGTGCCGTAGGAGTTGTAGATCCTCGGCCTCCAACCCCAGAGAGCCTGCCAGTTCACTAATGGGCCGGTCGGATAAAGACCCTCCAAGGATGGTCTCGCGAACCACGGCATAATATGCCGATGCCAAGTCCACGAAAATAAGCCCTGCAGACATTTGCTGAGCACGTGCAAAAGCAAGCAAAGACCGGGAGCAAATGTGCCCGAAAAGGGAACTGCAGCCAGCCTTACCTCCAAGTTGGAGGGGCAGGGAATGGCAGGACCAGTGCTTAACTACCAATCCCCGAAGCGACCTATGGAATGCCTTGGCTATACAGCTCTGCGCCAAAATGCCACGATGGGAGTCGCACGTGTTACGGGCACCTACCTTTCCCTTGCTGATGTGATACATCATGCCTCCTTTCAATCCAGCCGGCTCGGCTGACTGGCAAAGCGACTTCAACAACAAGGGCCAAAAGAGGTCCGTAAGCTGAACACTAAAGCGCCTGCATATCCCCGGGGGGATCAAATCCGGACCTGCTGCCTTCCTAGGAGCTGCATGGCGAAAAGCAGATTCCAGAGAAAACCACGAAGGCATGTCAGAAACCTCCAGAGTATCCGGAACTTCAGCAGAGGCTTGGGCCTTACGGCACTTAAGGACCAAGTCAGCAGCCGAAGTCAGTTTGCCCCCTTCCAGGGCACTAAAATGTTCTCGCCGCGTATCCGTAACTTCCACTGCTGACCTGCATATCTCCCCATTGGGTTTCTCGAGAATGGGCAGAGGTTCAGTAGAGGTTCGCCGAAACTTCTTGGGCTTGAGGACTCGCTGCACAGCCTGATGAAGCTCGCGTGTCGGGGCCGAAGCCAACTCTTCGGATAACTTCGATAAATAAGCAGCTTTGTCGGCGCGACAACCAGCCCGAAGCTGCGAGCCAAGGCGGTGCAAGAGCTGCCACAGCCACGCGCCCTGGAATAAATCCTCAAAGGCCTCATGCACACCTCGCCAAACTGCCCACACACAGCGCAGGTAGGTGCGGCGTAGTGCACTTCGACGGGTCCGCACCGCATGTCGCAGAGTGGACACCGCACGATGCAACGCCATCGTGTGCTCCGAAAAGTAAGGCGTACGCATCGGACGCTTCTCCAGAGGAAAATGCTCTAGGAGTCCCAGGTACAAGTGATCAACCACCTCGGCGGCATGCTCACTGACATCAAGGTCCCAACCGGGTCGCGGTGCCGCTTGGATAACTCGCTCAATGACATGCTGATTCGCAGGATCACCAATAGCCCGGGCATCCAGCCGTTTAGCACGCCGACAAGGAGGACCAGAGTGACCACCCAGCATCATCTCCACCGCCACCAGTACTGCAAAATGGTCTAGGCACCGATGCCCGGCCGAGATCGAGGCTTCCACCCAAGCCTGAAATTTCCCTGTCCGCCAGCCCGCGGGGAAGCACAGGAAATCCGACCGATCCAGCGCGCCTCCTCGCTTTTGCTGCAGCGTCCCTCCTTCGCCAACCATACTACCACTGAAAGTGGCAGGTATCCAGACGTCCAACTTCAGACACAGCTCGTGGAATAACGCACCAGCCTCATCCTCATCGTCAGCCTGATGTGAACCGATTGCACCGGACTCCCGGCTTCCAATCCGACAATTCGCATCGAGAAAAAGGATCCAAGGTACGCCACGCTCATGCGTAAGACATAGCTGAGATATCCGACTCCACCAGGCTTTCTTAGTGTCAAACGTATGCGCACGATGTGGCGCATGTCCGACAAGGACCTGGACCGGGAGCGAACCAAGCAGGAGACTCGCAATCAAGTGTGTTGGGGAGGAATGCAAGATCGCAACCGACGATGGTCGACAAGGCCCATCTTCACGGACCCACAACTCAACTCCAAAGCAGGTACGGTCGTCCGCACCAGAAGCATACCGAACATATCCTCCGCAGCGCATAGTGCCAGAGGGAGTACGACACTCCTGTAAACCTGCCAACACAACACCTGTGCTGCATAGGGCATAGGGAGTCAGCCAGCAGAGAAGGGCGTCCAGTAGCCCCATGCAAGCCCTGCTGACCTTCCGAGCGGCCGTCCAGCAGGGATAGGACGTTAAAGGAAGCAAGAACCATCGCAAGGTGACTGGAACCCGACCCGACCCCAGAGTCGCCAACTGGGAATGCACGAAGGAAAGGTTCCAGGGCACGAGCAGGCGGAACCCGACACACACTTGAGTCACGCGACCAAGACATGACTTGCGAATGGAGAGCAGGAAACTCAGAGGGCCGAAGTTTCGTAATGCAGTAGTGCGGCAGCCACTTTGCGAACAGTGAGCCATTCGCAAACAACGAAGCCCACTGACAGCCGAAGACTACCGGTGCAGGGTTTGTGCTACCCCGCATGGCTAAGGCATCAGAAAGCTCGTTCGCAACATCGCCAGAATGCCCTAGCACATGCTGGAAAGAAAGCCGCCCAGGCATAACGATCTGAGCCGATGCGCACACTGCACGGGCCACCTCACACAAAGGCGTGGGCCGCATTTGCACTAAGCCCTGCACGCCCTGAAGCGCCGAGATGTTATCAGACCGAAGCAAAACCGAACCAGCAATAGGTAGCTGCAAGGCCGCCAGAGCTGCGATCATGAGACCGACAACTTCAGCATCGTAAGCATCGGGCCCAAGCGCATCCCCGATGTGAGGAAGAAAGCCAGCAAGAGATCCCCAAACACATCCAATGAACTGACCAGGAAGAACACAACCCGGTCCCAGAACACTGAAAGTCACCCCCCATCCGGCAGCTCCAGTGGAAGGCGAGTGAGAACCATCCGATGTGAGGACTAAGACCTCCGTAGGACCTGGAGACCTGCCCAGACATCCACAACGCACCCAGTCCTCAAACCTGCAGGACCGATACAGCGAGGCTGGAGCGGGCAGCAGAGCAGCAAAGGGAACCCGTCTGAAAATCGAATCAAGGTCGTCAGAGCTGCCTGGAAGCACACTGTCTTGAGTCCAGGTCGAAAATCTCAGTAGTCGGGTGGCTACAGACCGCAGTAGGCCGAACCCCAACCCCAAGACCATCATCCCGAACATCAGGAAGCAAGTCATCCAACGAAAGCACAGCAGCCCGACAGGCAGGCTCCAAAGTAACTCTTTCGGGGCTGAAAACCGTTGCAGGCTCACCAAAGTGGGCGACCAAAGCTTCAACAAGTGTACAGGCAAGAAACATGGCCTGGGACTCCTTGGCCTGCACCGCCTCTTCAAGCAGGGTAGGCCCGACATAGCCCGATACCTCAAGCAGATCCAATCCACAAGGAAAGGCAGGCCAGGAACCCAGTGCATTTCGACAAGGTGTCGGTACAGGACGCATCGGTGCAGTGGCACTGTCTTGGAAAACACCGCTACGACCTCGATCGTCAACCTCCCAACTTGTGGAGCAACTTAAGCGGGGATACCCTACCAGCGGGGATGGGCGTACCTAGGGGCTCGGGCCGGGTCTGATTTTGGCAGAGGTCATGTGTGAAGATTGCGGAGCTGGCTATTTTTCAACATCCGTCGCGAAAGTAACATCGAAATTAGGAACCACGGATCAAACGTTTCTGCTTCACAATCCCTCAAATCCAAGTCATGTGTCATGTTTTGGAGGCCCAGCTTTTCCAAGCTGTTCCATGCGAAGTTGGATTGTGTTGCAGTGCTGGCCAAT